CGTATAGGATTTTGGTGGGAAAGCCAGAAGGAAAGAGACCACTGGGAAGACCAAGGCATAGGTGGGTGGACAATATTAAAATGGATCTTGGAGAGACAGGATGTGATGGTATTAGTTGGATTGATCTGGCTCAGGATAGGGACCAGTGGAGGGCTCTTGTGAACACAGTAATGAACCTTCGGGTTCCATAAAATGCTGGGAAATTCTTGAGTAGCTTCAGAATTGGCCACTCCTCAAGAAGGCCTCAGCTCCATGAGTGAGTAAGTAAGTAAATAAGTACAGTATTTACCCAAACTTAAACGAGTATATGCTTGACTGCTATGTTTTTTCATGTAGACAAATACAGATACATTTCACTGCAATAGAAACAAGTGCATGTCTTTACAATACAGTAATTGAAGTTAACTCTTTCTAAGGGACCCAACTGAGTGTCTCCTACTCCTCCCTCACCCGAGGACGGAAACAGATCCAGTTTCTGCAAAGTTGTGTTTTCTAGTTTCTAGAATACTGAATGATAGACAAAGTCCAAAAACCTAGTAATTCTGAGTGTTATACCCCAGCATCATAACGCTTTAGAATCTAAGTGGCCCCCTTGCGTGCATTTTTGTGTTAACATTCATATTTCGGTCTTTTTTTGTTATGACAATGTGTAGTTCATAGGAGGTTAGCAGCAATTCTTAAGAACATACAGTCTCCATCTTCAAGGCAAAAGTATGTTCCTCTGAACACTGATAGCCATATACCAGGCTACACAATGTTACAACTCAAAAAACCATTGTATTAATCTTTACTCAGTTGTCTCATACTGTGTTAATACAGTTTTACAGTACTAACTGGAAACATTTTCTTTTATATTTCTCCAACAAACCCAGATTCATTGTCACGTTACATTAGCTTGGGTGAGGTTACTTCAGTTTACATAATGTTGGGTGTAATGCACATAGATAAAGCAAGAATTTTGCAGTGAATACTCATATATTGGTAGGGAACATGAAGAGAGTATGTGCTAAAGATACTCGAGTACATGGTCACCACATTGTAAAGTTGCCCCAGTTTGACTAACTGTTGCTACTCCTACATCATAGATGGCCCTAGAGGTTCACTACGACGCCTTCGAAGTCAGCTGGCTGAAGATGGATGTCCTGAATCACAAGTTATACTGGCAAAACATCTACTTGAAGAAAAGTGTGGTAAGAATATTATCTTTATACATACATCAGCCCCTTAAAAAATAAACAGATATGTTCCTTAAATGTAATTTTGTAGGCAAACATTCATTAAGTGGGAACATCAATTTCACCAATTATCTTCTGTTAAAGTATTAATAAAAGGTAAGGTAAAGTTGTCCCTGTGCTTAACTAATTATGCACTACGCCATGAAGGCGTATGGAAGAGTGGATATATAGACCCACGTTTTCTTGACCTCGGCACTAGTTGGAGGTGAGTGGTCAGCTTCATGCCCCTGCCACTTTACCCCCAGGGAAAGAGTCCCCAGTACTCATTAAATAGGAGGTTGGGTGGACCCCAGAGCCAGTCTGAAAAAAATGGAGAAGTGAAAACTCTTAACCCTAATGGGACTTGAACTCCAACTCCTTGGTCATCCAGCCTGTAGCCGGTCGCTATACCAACTGCACTGTCTCAACTCTTATTAAAGTATGAATAAGTGTAGTTAAATTCTGCCACTACATTGCTATTCCTCTCAAACTCTAACTTCCAGTCATTAAAAATATTATGTTGACTGTCACAGAAAAGGAAATTTGCTGTTAGGTCATTGAAGTTATTTTCCTCTCAGGTTTCTATCAATGAAGAAAGATGAGGAAATGAGAAATGCATGCCACATCTGCCATCAGGGTAGAAATATGTATCATGTTATATTGTATATGCAGGTACCATTCCTGAAATTTTTTTAGAAAGGAAAGTAAATGTTTACTTGAAGAATGCCATCTTCTGGGATGTGGCATCTCGTGCATCTTGTGTGAGGAACGTATCATCTCCATCTTCGGGGTAGAAAAATTGCATTGGACCGCATAGAAAACATGTCGCTGTCCGTATTGTTGTAGGCTTTGCCTAACAATGGCTGTTTACTCACTGTTTACTTGTGTTGTCACTCTAAAGTTTGCTTGAATGTGGGCAGTTCCCACAACTGTAATCTTGAAAGGGGAAAAATATTGTTTGTAGCAGACAGCTGAATTTATTTTATTCTTGAATATGGAAAGTGAGTATTATGCATGATGAAATATAAACAGACTGGGAGTTTATAACCATCTTGTAATGCAGGATGATCTTACATTGTTTCTTATGTCTTTTATCTTTTTTTCAGAACTGGATGTGGATAAAGAAGAGAATTCCAGGCTTGGAGTATATTGGCTGATAAAGGCATCTGAACAAGGAAATGTAGAAGCCACAACTATTTTGAAACACTGTTTAGAAACAGGGCAAGGTGAGGTTTCATTTGAGAACACTACTTGCCTGAAAGACAATTTTAATAACAATAACAGTGATAGTAAATTTTAGTGACCAGTCATGAATGATATGTTTTTCTTTCATTTTTTATTTAGGAATAACAGAACATAATTACATGGATGTCAAGACTTGTCTGAGTATGTCTCAAGATGAAAAACTGGTGCGGAGAGCTGCTCGGGAAATGTTTTCCTGGTAAATAAAGTTTACTTATTGACTGTTATGTTGCTCTGTGACACTGTTTTTGAAGGGATTACATAGCATCAGGTTCAGGGAAATATTTAACTTGGTTCATCCTGGTCTATCACACTTGTAATAATATAAAAGATTATTAACAACACAGTGTGGCCCGAACAACTGGACGACACTAAAGAGTCGTATTCTTCAAACAACAGAACCCCAACATGGTATACATTCATCTTCCTTTAAAGAGAGGAAGTATAAAGGACATGAACCAAATTGGTTCTAGATTTTAAGAAAAAGTTTTTTAAACCATACTTGTAAATAGACTAATTATAATAATTTATAAATGTTTTAACAAATTCATGCACATCACAGTAGCCAATTTTTTGGCTAGCAGATGTCTGTTAGTCCCTCAAGATGAGCTTTTTGCCCCATAGAGTTAGTTACTGGAATACATCTTCCCCTTTGTTTGATTCCAGTCTCTCTTCGGGGCAGGATTTCATCACGACAGATCAACTTCAACGAAGAATGCAAATGGTAGAAAAGAATGTTGATAAAGGACGTGAATCAGCTGAAATTTTATTTGATGAGAATGAACAGAAACAGGAAGGTGAGAGTGATATTTCTGCCAGAAAGGAAGAAGGGAACCAGCAAGTACTGAATGAAATAGCTGAGGAAGCTAATGGAGGTGAGAAGAGACTGGTACTGTAATGTGTACTGTTTAAAATTATACTGCTGTGGAGTCATTAAAAGAACATTCATGAAACAAATGTAGCTGAACTGACACTTTTTAGACATTCCTTATAAAGTGAAAAATAGAGCCTTCTGTGGAGGTCACATCTGTCTACCAGTACTAAGGTCAGAACTGCTGGACAGGTATTTGCAGTTGGGATTACTGAGTTTTGGACTTTGTCCATCTTCCAGTATTCAAAGGACATAACACTTCAGAAACTGGGTCTATGATTGTGGCTAGTTCTCTGCTAACGGATCCAACAGAGTAGGTGTCTCCAACTTCATCATCTGATGATGGAAAGAGATAACCACAATAGACCACTGTAGGTCGTGGTGCAAGGGCCGGCCCACCCACAGATCCGGTTTCCAAAACGTTGCATTTGTTAATGTTCTTTAGAATACTGGACAATGGACAAGGTCCAAAAACCCTGTAAATCTTGAATATCATGCACCATCATCAGAACCCTTTAGAATTTTCTTAGATATTTTCAGTTCTTGTTTCTCTAATTTGAGCTGTATGTCTCACCCATGACCTTATATGCCCTGTGAAGATGTATTTTACCCATCTTACTATGAATTTTATTTTTTTTAATTTGGTTTCATACATTGTGACTTAAACAAGAATCTTGTAGAAATATATTAATGATATGCAAAACAAATAAACTCCATGGCCTGTAGTCCGCAAGCAATCTATACCGACCGCGAGACTGCCACTTGTCCGTGAAGTTAATGTCAACTTTAGTGAATCTCGGTTTTCTAGACTGGAGCCACTATTCCCTTGAAATAGCTCCTCAGTCATCCTCATGAGGCTGAGTGGATCCCGTTCCAGACCCACTACTTCTCAGAAAATCTGGTAGCGCTGGGAATCGATCTTTGGACCTCTGGATATGTAGGCAGAAACTCTGACCACTAGACCACAGAGGTGGTCATTAATGATATGCTGGCATGATTAATTGCATAGGATGTTTCATTTGCGCTTTGCAGACTGGATGGGCAGAGGAGAGTACACTGGAGAGAAGCTTACAGAAGACCATCTTGTATCTGCGGCAACCACGTATGCTCGAGGAGAACTGCCCCTGGTTCATCAAGTGCTAACTCTGACTGATCCACGACACCGAGATATTGATGCTATGAATTTTCTTCACCGGATTTTCTTACACCCTCTCATAACTCTACAATCTCTTTATGGAAAGTTTGTGGAAGCCCTTGCTAAGCGAGGTGGACCTGTAATATCATCATTGTTTCCAACAGCATTGTCACATTTTCAGACTTTGGTTTTGCTATTCATATATTCCATCTTGGGTACTGAAAGTTTAATCTTATTTATTCCGATGGCATTGTATTATGCGTCGTTTTGTGTGATGGTCGTATCTACATTTCAGATGTTAAACCGAAGACGTGAATTCAGTGATTTCCGAGTGTGGTCACAGCTTTTTCTTAGCTATAGTGGCGGAAATTTGAATCCAGAAGAAGCAGAATACCAGTATTGTAGCAGCAAATTAAAGCCATATGGTCATTTCTTTCTTGCTTTGTTAATTAACCTAGTTGTGTATCCTCATATAGCTCCTCAGTGGACACCACAGTCTGAATTCACAATACTCGCCTTCTTCTTAACAATCCTCACTCTTTATGCTTTTATGGATGATAAACGTGTTCCAGATTTTCTGGCTTTGTTCTCATTTGCCGTACATGTACTTGCCAAGTATCCGTATGAGACGGACGCCGTTGTGAGGCAAGGCTGGAGGTTTCTGGATATCCGAATTCCTACATTTGCCTCATATGTTGTTGGCAACGGCATAGAATTCTGTCTCAATTTTCGTGCCGTTTTCTACCTTCTTATTCCAGCTGTATTCATTAAAATTGCAGCACGAGACAACTGGCGTGGAACGTACAGAACTCTCATACCGCACTGTGTTACACTCTCATGGTGGCAAATGGCTGTGATATCCTCTCAAGGTGCAACATGGTATGGTCTGGTTCGGAGCACCCTGGCATTAGTTGGACTTGTCTTATTCTTGCCCCTGGCTGGCCTTGCAACAATTTTACTTCCTGTTGCTGCTGTAGGGAAGTATCTGGCAGATTCAGCCGTGTTGGTTCGTGTGACTGCTACGGTAACTCTGGCATCACTGCCTTTAGCGTTGTCATGGTATCTCAGCCACTGCAGAGCACATGGTACAGCAGGAGGATTCATCGACAGACTTATTACAAGGATCCAGGTAATGGTTTACATAATAGAATCATCTTAGTGAGTTGTGTTATTTACATGATGAAAAGAGTCCCCCTTTTTTTAATGGACCCTGAAAGTACGGCACAGTGTTTCCTTGAGATTAGTCTTAATGTTATTTTCCCATCTCTTTGGTATACCAGATGACCACTTTCAAGAGATCCCTCACAAAATTCTATGATTTTTTTATATATTTCCGTCCCTTCAAGCTACATTTTTGGTCCACCATAACAATACACTTCATATTTTAATGATTATCATTAATAAACCTAGCAGAACTTTTAAGTGTTTCTAAATAAGTAATACCTTGTGTGTCTCACTAATAATTGTGGCACAGTATGCAACCTGGTGCATGTGATATTTGGGTGAACTATTCAGTGTGATACAATTTCTTTATTAAAATCCGTCACAACACCACAGTATCAAGGTCAAGGTCAAGATTGGCTCGGCTACGTGTTTCAGCTATTAAAGCCATCATCAGGCAAATTACATGATTAACATATTCACACAACTGAACTACAGTACTGGTAAAACTGGATACATGATAATCATTACATTATAAAATGCTTGGCATAAACGTACAATGAACTAGACTATATAAGAACGAAAGTTAATGGGTAAAACAAGGTGAAGACTCTTCATGTGATGTTTTACATCATCAAGTCAGTTGTGGGTTGTTGCACTTTGGTTATATTCCCGCAGACATATAGCGGTATATTCTAGATTTTGTGTACATGTAATAAACTGCTTGGAGGCCCCTGGTATACATGTAGTATAGTTTTGATGTTAATTGTTTAGCCAGTGCCTCATCTTACACTGTAATTTGTCTGTTCGGTAGGGAATATAAACTGCAGTTTAACCTTGTTTTACCCATTAACTTTCATTTTTATATAGTCTAGTTCATTGTACTTTTATTCCTAGCACTTTATAATGTAATGATTATCATGTACGCAGTTTTACCAGTACTGCAGTTCAGTGGTGTGAATACGTAGGGTAGTCAAAACGTTCCCGGAATTCCCCTGAAGATGGAGAATGAGCAATAAGATAGCGCACACACTATTGTGGTGGGAAGTTCAGCATGTCTGCTCGCAGGAGCAACAGGTCTGGACAGGTTTCAGTGTGCAGTGTCGTTACTGTTCCATTTGAATTAGACATGAGTGTTGGTCATTCAGCACAATGTCGCAGTTTGAACAGCGTGCGAACATCAAGTTCATGTGCAAATTGGGAAAATCTTCAGAGACGCTATCGGTCCTGCAGCAAGTTTACAGTGATACTGCACCAAAGAAATCCACAGTTTACAACTGATTTTCCCGGTTTAAGAATGGGCAGGAGACATTAGAGGATGACCAGCGCAGCAGGAGACCTTCGACATCCAGAACCGAAGAAATGATTGGAAAGTGCAACATCTGATTCAATGTGATCAAAGAATGATCATCGCGGAGCTAGAGCAAGAAGTTGGTACTGTTACTGGCCATTTCCACATGCAAGTTTTGCAGAGGTTGCGCGATGCGGTTCGGAGGAAGCAGCACAACAAGTGGCAGGGACAGTAGTTTCTGCATCACGATAACCCACCAAGCCACATATCGCTTGTTGTGCAGCAATTCCTCGCCAAAAAAAAAACATTCCTGTCATCACTCAACCACTGTACTCTCTGGATCTTGCTCCGAGTGACTTTTGGCTGTTCCCTACTCTGAAAATGGGCCTCATGGGGACACATTTCGCAACCACGGAGGACATCAAATCGAATGCGATGGCTGAGCTCCGGAAGATTCCAAAAGAAACCTTCCACCGCTGCTTCCAACAGTGGCAAAATCAATGGAGCAAGTGTGTGTGTGCATGCAAGGGTCCTACTTTGAAGGTGATTAGGTAAGCGTTGCCGTATGTCCTACCATTAGAGTGCTATACCACCATTCCAGGAACTTTTTGACTACCCCTCGTATGTTAATCATGTATTTGCCTGATGATGGCTTTAATGGCTGAGCCAATCTTGGCCCTGACCTTGATATTGTTGTGTTGTGATGTATTTTAATAAAGAAATTGTATAGTGTGACATGTTGACCCCTACCTCCCCAGCGGCACGTAGCGGTAACGTAGAGCTCGCGTAATAGGCGAGTCATCACGCCGCCACTCTCCCGCGGTGACGTCACGAGCGGAGCCGAAGTTAGCCGAGTCCCCGCATCCTGGTAGCTATGCAACGCGCGGTGACGCCACGGTGACACGGAACCGCTTCCTACTGTGACGTGGCACACAACAGGCACCACTGCGGATATATAAGGGAACTGCACAGCAGCTACCAGTTAGTTGTTATGTGGCTACGGCAGAGTTGTAATGCGACAGTCGCCGAGTGTGTTATCAACAGTTCTCCAGTCAGCCGACTACAAGTTGGAATATGGCAGCCGTCGCGGAAAGAAGAACCGGACGTGTGTGTGAGTGTGTAATTGGGAGTGTGTGATAGAGTGATACATAGCTCCCCTACTGTAAACGTGTAGACTACTGAAGTCAGAGTGAGCTGATTTGTGCATAGGGTTATAAATCGTGAAACCCTGCAACCGTAGTTACAGATTAATGCGATTAGTGTTATAAAGTGTGAAACCCCGCAACTGTGTGATAAGTAATTGTAGCCGTTACTTGTAGATTGTTCAGTAAACCAATTAACGATCTCTACGGCGTCTTCAGTAACGCAAGACACGTTACAATACTATAACACAACAGGATGCACGAAATGAAAATTATTCAGTGTGATATTAAGTATAGCATAAATTATACTGAATCATAAATCTTACTGGAGATTATTGTCTTCTTGGATACAATACCATGAAGTTGGGCAGATGTTTACTGACATTAAAAAGGAACATACTGTCTCCATCTTCATGATAGAAGAGTAAGCCAAATATGGAGAAATGTGATTCGGATATAAGAGTGATAACCAGGCTAAGAGCCCTGAGTGAGCCAATCAGAGTAGGGAAAGAAACAGGGACCAAGGTGCATTCTTTGCTTAAGTGGAAAGATGGGAGAAAAATGGCTCTTGAGTGACCAATGAGTGGCTTACCCTTCTGCTTTGAAGATGGAAGTGGCATGTGCCTTTCTAATGTTGGTTAATGTCTAGAGACTACTCAGATCTTATGTCTGTTATTCTCTGACCAGAAACATGCTAGAAGTATATGAAGTTAGTTGGATTTATTTATAACGAAGTAACATAATAACAATATGAGAAAAGTAGATCACATAATTAATTATGTGGTATCCTAATTAATCAAATTATATTGTAACATGTTTTGGGTTTNAAGGTGCATTCTTTGCTTAAGTGGAAAGATGGGAGAAAAATGGCTCTTGAGTGACCAATGAGTGGCTTACCCTTCTGCTTTGAAGATGGAAGTGGCATGTGCCTTTCTAATGTTGGTTAATGTCTAGAGACTACTCAGATCTTATGTCTGTTATTCTCTGACCAGAAACATGCTAGAAGTATATGAAGTTAGTTGGATTTATTTATAACGAAGTAACATAATAACAATATGAGAAAAGTAGATCACGTAATTAATTATGTGGTATCCTAATTAATCAAATTATATTATTTCTGTTACTGTCTTTAAATGCATTTCATTTCCTCCCAGAATCATAATGAGGAAGCTTGTCTCTGTGGTAGAACTGATGTGGAATCATGTAAATGCAATGCTTGTCATATCTTTTCTGTCACCAGATCATGCTTGGTGTAGTGGCTGCACTGTCAATGCTATTGCCAGCACTTTCTGACCTCAGCAGACAGACAGATGCCCTTGTGGACTATTCAGAAGGTAGTGGAGGAAGGCTCACCTGGGAGCAGTACCAGAATCATTGTCACCAACCAGCCTGGGAACAATCATCTGTCGCCTTGGTACAGTTACGCTGCTCTCACCTTGTTGGCACACCAGTTGGTTGGGATGGATATGTCACAGATGTTAGGATAAGGAGCATCAGTAACACCTTGGAAACAGTTTTTTCTAGGTGTGTACACACATGCAGTTACTATGGTTATCACATAGTATGAAATTATAATTCTGAATATGGTAATTACAATGGCTGGAGAGTCTGTATAGAGCTACTTGAAGAATGACGATCATAGAATTTAATCCCATTCAGGACATGGGTGTATGTCCACTTTCTGGTGCATTTGCTTCCCATCACTTTGCTTGGTACCTGCTTCACACTGGTTTCTTGCCTGGCTTATTCTTCAACCCTGAAGATGGAGGCCGCATGTTCCTCTGAAGCATTTGTTGACTTCCAACAAACAACACTGTGTTATATCCCAGAAGACAAAGCTCTTCAAGGAATATTAGCTTTGTCATATCTCTGTCAATCTGTTTGTCAACATGTTAAAACGTGAGAACCCTGAAACACATTTTCATGAGATATGATATTGACAAGTTTTACTAAAATTTGTAAGATTTGAGGTTTTCACAGTGGTGTCTATGAAGAATGCTGTCTTCTGGGATGTGGCACCATGTAGATCTTGTATGAACCTACGTTTCGGAGGAACGTTGATTTACACAAGATCTACACAGCACCACATCCCAGAAGATGGCATTCTTTACCAAAATTTATTGACACATTGCAGTTTTGATTAAAACTGGACAAAAATAATAACTGTATTGCATCCTGTGGGAAAACAGGAATGGGAAATTTGGCTTGATGCACATGGCACCATTAGACATAATAGCATACCCCATTAATTTTAGGGGCATCACAGTGTCATGCCATTAGGATGCAGCGTAAATTTCACTGGAATGTTCGCAGGTTACCAACACCTCTACAGGAGGCTCTAACCTGCTTTTATGGCAATAGATATGATCCTGATTGTGATACAGAAACTACACCAGAATCTGCCCTGGCGAGTTGCAAACTACTCAAAGATTTAAAGCTGAGCCATTCAAGCTGTCATCTAGAGGCCTGGAATAGGTATGAATCTCATATTTTAAGCGCATTGTTTAAAACCGTGTTTGAATTAATATAAAATATTAAATACATGAATGAAAGGGCTTAGAACTTTCAATTCCGTGCAATTTTTAGCCTACTTCCCTTATTATGAAAAAAAAATAGGCTTATATGATCATCATGCCCTCTGAGTGTCATTATATATCCCCCTATAAATTTTGAATGGCTGAACCAATCTTTATGAAACTTGGTATGGATGTCATGGCACATGAGCCCATCCCTGTGCCATACTTCAGGAATCCCATCCTGTGTGCCTGTCCCCCTGTCACTGCTGCAATGGATACACAGAATAGAAGAATTGTTGGATATGTTTCCTATTCAGTCTGCATCGTATCAAGGAAATCAGGCAATTAGTTCTTCCCAGAACATATTTATTTATTTATTTATTATTTAAGGTATAGTAGTTTTTGTTGTTATTTTTATTAGCATTGTCATTTGTATTAATTTTTCTTTTCACAGGTATAAATTTGAAGTTGGAGTGAAAATGAAATCAGGGATGTGGGGGAAAACAGCTGAGGTGACACTCATTGCAGATGATTCATTTCGTAACTTCACCTTGGCACTTCGTCCTGGTGATCGAGTGTGGTTTGCTGGTTATCTGACGAGTGGTAGTGGGAAAGACGATAGTGACAATTTACTGGGTGGATTGAAACCACAGGTGGACCTGGAAGAAATTGGATGTTTGGGGTGCCACAGGAGTGAACTTCAGATACATAAGAAGGGTGGTGGTGCGACATTAAAAAGTGGAAGTCCTACTTCATTAGTAGCATATGGATACGCTGGTGTAAAATCTGTATTGAACTTTATATTCAATCCTTTAGTGATATTCAAATGAAAAAGATTTTGTTATTATGTAAGTGTGAAATATTTTCATAGATTGTATGGTTTGATGTAACAAGATATTAGCTTATCCTCCACAAACTGACTGATCTAATAATACATATGGCTGTATATATTCTGTCATAATAACTTATGTGGCAATTTCAATTTCATAGTAATCATATATTCCTTGTCTTAACCATTTCACTGGAACTATTCTGATGCACATAATAGCAGTGTGACCAGAAAAAGCACACTGTCTTATTCGGATGTTCTGCCATGCAGAAATGCAATATGGCTGAAATAATTCTTAGAGAAGTACACGCATTATGATCAGAACACTTCTGCCAAATATACAGGATGTTGTAACTTTTGTCTTAGGAAATTCCACATGAAAAGCAAAAGGAACATAAGAAATTAGTGGCATGAATTGGAGTTTTATTTTAAAGATATAGAGAAATATATATCTTTATATATGCATGTCTGAAATGTTCAATGATATCCACAGCCAGATGTCATTTCTCTTGCGAACAATGAAAGAGTTAGACAGTGCATGATATTTGAGGTTATTGCCTTCTTGGATGTAATTCCATGCAATCAGATAGGTACCACTGTTTCAGAAGAACCTGTCATACTGAACTATATGGAATCACATCCCAGATAATAGTAATCTTTAAATTTTAACGACTGCTAACTTGTATGACACCACTTAACAGCATTTCTGTGCTGTTTCATTTAAGTTAACTGTATCTGTTGACCCAACCATTTCATGTTCTAATCTGGCCACATTTTAATGCACTAATGATCCCTACCACATCTGCATGTAAGAAACAGACATCTGAGTGACAAGGATTATTGATTGATTCTCAGGTTTAATGATACCATTTCAACTGCAGATGATATATAGCCCTGAATAGGGTGGGAAGATAATCATTAATGGTGAACAGATAAAAATTTGGAAGATAGTTTTGACATGTTTCATGTTACCAGCCCAGCTTTTGTCTTGATAAACTGAGGAAACCCATAAAGATACGTCAGGAAAACTGATAATCTGGATGAAACTGGAACCAGTCCATTGCATTACTGCTACAGTAACCTGCTCAGAGATGAGAAACTCATCTACCAACAAGTGGACATTAGGAACTGACTTTTAAATGTTTTTATTTCTGTGTGTGTTTTGTGACATTTGTGTATAAATGTGCAATAACTTTGTAAAGTCCTGTCTGGCACATTAGAATATTGAAGGACTTCATATGTTTACGAATCATGAATGTGATGTATATGTTAGCTCATGCAGAATGAAGACTCCTGAACAGACTAAAAAGAAAAATAATAATAAAAGGTTATGGAGAGTGCAATCATGCACTAAAATCTTGTAATACTGTATTCTCTAGCATTAAATGTTCACTTACACAAAATGGAAGTAATAATTTCTGTTCAGAAAGAATTGTAATTTATTGAAAAATGAAGATGATAACAGTGAATGTAACATTGTTGAACCAGGTACTGAAATTAAATGATACGAAAATATCAACTGACAAAACACAAGCCAAGGGAGTACATTTGGGGACATGAATCTAGATAGCTTTCGTAAAATAATGTTCAGAAATACATATTTCAATTCATAGTGGTTAAACTGCTGATAAAATACAATATTGGGACTTCGAGAGGCAAGAGACAAATAAAAACAGTAGGAATGAAATTTAAAGACCCTAGCTATGATGGTTGTACTGAAAGTCATGAGCAACAATTTTTTTGTAAAGTAACATGCTTTCTTAATGACAAACCAAATACACCACCACAATCTACAGACCTTTCTTTATTTTTCCACATAATCGCCACTTCTTTGTACACATTTCTCCCAGCATTCTGGGAGTTTGAAAATTCCCCTTCTGTAATATTCCGTTCCAGCCATCTGAAGACACTGACGCACTGCTTTCTGAATTGCCTCCCTTGTCTCAAAACGCTGTCCATGCAGCTGATCCTTCACAAATCCGAAAAGATCCTAGTCGAAGGGTGCCAGATCAGGGCTATAGGAGGGGTGTGGAAGAACTTCCCACCCCATCTTTGCAATTGCTTCCAATGTGAGGCGAGCATTGTCATGCAGGATGATGAGCACAAACTTTCCTATAGCCCAAGCTTTCAATCATCTCCTGTACTGCACTGTGCCCTATTCCAAGTTTTCGGGCTGTTGTGTCCACAGTCACACGCCTGTCATCTTGAATGATCTCATCCACTCTTTCCTTGTTGCATTCAGTTGAGGCTGTTCGAGGACAACCGCTCCAAGGCTCATCTTCGATGCTGGTGTTCCCGTCTTTAAAATGTTTCACCCATCTTTGAACACTGCTCGCACCCATGTGCACACTTCCATAAGCACGCTGAAGTCTCTGGTGAATTTCTGCAGCAGGGATTTCCTCTTTCACAGGAAATTCGATTACAGCACGCTGGCGAAACGACACATCGTTGTCGGGCATTTTGTTAGGAGTGATACTGGTCACGTGATGCAAGCTATTGACGTCACAAGACACTCAAGGTTAACACAACAGCTGGTTTCACCTACCACCATACTCTCTTTTGTCTGCTGTTCCCAGGTTGCATGCAAAAAAAAGTTGCTCATGACTTTCAGTACGACCTACGTAGATGCACAAAGGAGGACAAAAATACATGAATGACAAAATTAGGCCGCTTTCAGACAGGGCACACGGTGGCTTGCAACTAGTGTCTGGGACACAGCCACTGAACGCCACAACACACACACTTAGTGGCTCTGATGTCAGAACCCGACCTTGATGTTACCCTCAGTCATTCAGATGGAGGGAATGCCTTACTACAGTCTGTTGCTTGAACCAAAGGAAATCATCATAATTATGCACATACTACGAAAATATAGGAAGAGGAACAAGAAGAGAAAATTGTGGGTTCACCCTGTTGTTGAAAGTAGGCTTAGCAAAGGAGCATTCTACACACTCCATGAAGATATCTGCAGTGATGAAAGGAAGTTCTTTAATTACTACAGAATGTCTAGTACATCATTCACGGAAGTGTACGGCAGTCTAAAATGTTGGCGTAATCATCACTATTTATATCCCATATAACAGGTCTGGCTCGCACTAACTCGATAAATTTATCAGTATCAAAATGTTTGTCCACCATTTTCATCAATGACGCTGGACACTGTGTCTCTTGTCTGAACGCTAGCATACAACTCAATGCACTTCGAGTGGCCAGACCACAAGTCAGTGTCTCGGCCACTGGAGGGGAAAGACACAGCTGTGCCACAGTGTCTCAGATGTGGGACACTGAGACGCTTGTGTGAACGCTAGTATTCACGCTAATGTATTTGCAGTCGCTGGACACTGTGTGTCTAGCCACCATGTGTCTTGTCTGAAAGCGGCCTTAAGGTTGATAATATAATTGAGATTGCTGCATATAGAGACAGACCATGTACATAGCATGAATACATAAAAAAAGGAAAGATTATGAGAAGAAATTAGACTGCCAACTGCATCCATTACCCCATGTAAAAAACACTGCTGGGAGAAAAAGAAGTCAGCATGTAACCTGCAAGGCAAAGGGTAAGAGGAAGATGCTTCAGGAATGTGGATATGGAATCCATTTTACTGACTAGACATTTGGGTTCCATATAAGGCATGGAATTTCTAGATTGGATAAGCAACTATCATCTCAGAAAGGACTCAGCTGCACAGTTACTTACATACTGTGGCAGATGCAGTACCATTTTTCTGTGATGCTGAGATGGTCTCATATTGTTCATTAATATCATAGGCCTATGAATAGTATGAGTTTTTCAGAGGCAGACTAGCATTTGAAAACTAATGTTTGTGATTACTGGATATATTTTAATTTTCTGTAAATGTGCATATACATAAATATATTATTTGTTTCTGTCCATTAAATCACAGTTTGGGACGTGAAGTGTGTAATTTAAATTCATTTCAAGAATTTGAAATTTTAAGTGACTTGCTATAAAACCTGGCAGCCAGAAATCCGTTTATTATGTACAAAGAGAAGATGATAAAATAAATATATTTATTTAAAATATCTGGTATACTGAATTAAAATCCATATTTACTTGAATATAAGCAAGGATATTTTCCCCCCTCATTTAGCATCTGAAAATCATGATGGCTGTCTTACAAAGTGTGGTTAAAATAATTTGCAGACTGAATGATTTTCTTTATACCGGATATACATTTTTAACAACTATTCCATGCTATCCCCTTCAAAGTAGGTCTCATGTTCTAATACAGCCAGTCCATTGATTCCCTCACTGCTGGGAACACATATGTAACTCCTGTGTTCTTTAATTACAACATCAAATATCCTCTTGCACACCAACTTGAGTTTAGAAAACAAGAAAAGATCATATAGAGCTAAATCTGGGGAGTATAGTAGGTATGGCATAACAGTCACGAAATTTCTGGCCAACCATTCCTGCACGGCTAAAGCAAAACAAGCAAAAGCACCACCATAACTGATCAACCAATCCCCACTGTTCAGTTTCTCAGGATGATTATCTTGGGTTGATAAGCCCAAGTCAAAGTTAAGTAAAAAACTAGCATTTCAAACTTGCTGTCTCCATCTTCGAGACTGAGTGTGGGGACTGACTATAAGTCTCTTAAATGTTTCATGCTAAAACTGTTCAGTATATTTATGATTTCCACACAAAACAGCTAAACAGTTTGATCAGTTATCATCAATGGAGAGCTAAATGGATGCTTCTTATGGCTATTATCTTATATTACATTCTACAGTAAGAGAAGAGCTTTACTAAGAGCATATATTTTTAAACTCTGTGATCTGGTGGTCACAGTTCCTGGCTACAGATCCAGAGATACCGGGTTCATTTCCCAGTGCTATAAGATTTTCTGAGAAGTAATGGATCTGGAATGGGGTCCACTCAGCCTCATGAGGAAAACTGAGGAACTACTTGAATGAAAAAGTAGCAGCTGCAGCCTAGAAAACCGAGATTAATGGTCGTTGGCATATGTTTGCTGACCACACAACACCCTCTATCAGCAAAATTTGACACTAACTTCACCAACAAGCATGGTCACTTGGTCAGTATAGTTCGCTTACAGACTAAAGGCCATGGAGTAATCCACATCAACTTCCTGGATCTTACATTAAGTGATGCTACTGTCATTCCCACACAAGTTCACACAGCCCACCATGTTGGTATTATTAATGCTAACAAAAAGAGGAAGGGGATGATTGTCTAAAAGTATGATACTAGTTTTATCAAGTTGTGTGAAAAGCCATCATTTGGTTAAAAAAATTATTAGTTGGAATGATTCTTGTTTTTACTTAACAACACTTTCAGTTCCTAAAATTATGTAGTGCAGAATGGTAGGATGATTAGTGAAAAATGAATTTGAAAACATGTGGCAGTGTTCATGGCCTATTTTCAGTACTATCCCAATACTTGTCTAAGATACTGAGGAAAACCACAATTAAAACCTCAGTCACTATAGCTAAGCCAAGATTTGGATCTGGGACTTCCAGAATAGATAGAATTTGAGGTTAGAAAAGTGACTGGAACATGTTACATGGATGGAAAAAAAAAACTGTATTCAAAATTATGGGTCATGACAAAATAACAATGTTGGAAGACCGATAAGAAAGTGGAATGACTTGGAATTTTAATGGGAATGAAACAGACCACTACTGGCCCTAAGCCATAAGATTTATGAAGAAATTTTATGCAGTCCCCACACATGCTAATTCACAAGACCAGTGGGATAAATGGAGGCCATCAACTATGACTGTTGTAAATGCTGTATGGATTTCACATATCTTTATTGTAAATAATATAATGAAAGAACCAGATGCAAGCATGTGAACCATATACAATCAACAGAAATTTCAGTCTTTCGAAAAATAAGGGGAATAAAACAAGGAAGAAAAAGTGTGACAAAATATATCAAATGAACATTCTTCATTCACAGCACAATCACAGGAGAGAAAATCAGAAAATAAGCATACGTCAAGCATCTTAATATGATTCAAGGACAATATATCATTGTATGACTGAATGTCACAGGTAGGTAAAAAAAGGTAAAGGTATCCCTGTAAAAATCTGTGGAGGCCCATAGGGTTGAGAGAGTTTGAGGCTCCCACATTTTCTAGACAATTGGCTCACAGATTGAGGTGAAGCTGACAGCCTTACGTGCCGGTCGCCCTTTACCCATTGGGATTCAATCCCATGACCTTCCAGCTTGTAGCATTGGGCCTCAACCAACTACACTACTGCGTGCTCCCATGTCACATACAGATCTGATCCATTTGATTGCTCTCTCTAGCAAAATATTTCTATAACTGCAAAAGGAAAAATGCTTTCTTTAACCCTGCTCATCCAGTAATCAACATTTTTCAATCTCTCAGTATAGTGTGAACAGTTTATCATTCAAGAACAGGAGATTTTATATCGCCCAGCTCTACAGAGCTGACAATATTTAAACCTGGGTGTAACGGTGTCAGTTAAATGCAACACATTAGCTGTGTGCTTACATGACCAGTACAGTTTAAATCCCGAGTTCCCTAGTTATGATCACACATTTAAAAGCAATTCCCCAGTCAGCTGCATAGTTACATATGTAAAACAGACATTACAGTGATTATGGGGAATAATGTTCAATTTCAATGTTATCAAGCACTGAACTGCCTCCTTTTAAGGTTTCCTCACTTTAATGTTCAAACTAAGTGCTTACCAAATGAAACCTTAACAGAGGTGTCATGATAAAATGAAATTTAATCTCAGAATTACCACTGCAATATTTCTCAACAATCTACACATGAAGTAACACTAAACCACAATTCAGCACATTGTATAAATTTGTATGTATACGTACATGCACAAAATTCATTGATATTCTTTTTACTTCTTTACATCTTTTTACTTCTATAATAATTCTTGTGATGTGTGTTATATTCACAGAAATACATAACAAACTAACAATGTTGCACAATGCAGACAGAAATAGAACATAAATATATAAAATAACTATTCTGCAAATGTGCTTTATGCAACATATATAAGAAAAAGTGTGGAAAATGTCAAGCAGGAGCAACTTAACAAAGAAACCACAGCACAGGCTAATGAAATGACAAAAGCCTTGGATGTAATATTCATTCTATTACCATGTAATTAATTATTACTAAACATGTGGAAAAGAATTTCAACCAAAATGCTGCAGCACACAGATTCAAGATGTGGTATACCAGATGAAAATTAATAATGTCCTGCTCTAATAACTTCAAGTTTCTAGCACCTTCCAAATGCATGTGTAGAAGGGTTACTACTAACCCAGTTTGCTCTTTGATAAAGCAAATTATTATCTAGCACTCTGGGAACTAGGCCCCATTTATTGAAATGTTCCAGGTAAACAGTACCAACAGCAAAATCTGACTGATGCCGGTTCAATCGGTCTCATAAAGTGATAACCAAATTTACAGTGCAACACTGCCTGTAGTCAACCTGTCCTACCTTCTGTATAGATACCTTTATATACACACAGAAATGTCATCTTGGATTTGTGAAAATATAGTACCGGTGGTATCATAGTCGGTATAGTGACTGGCTACAGGCTGGATGACCAAGGGGTCAGAGTTTGAGTCCCAGTGGAGTCAAGAATTTTCTATTCTCCAAATCGTCCAGACTGGCTCTGAGGTCCACCCAACCTCTTACCTCCTATCCAATGGGTACCAGAGGCTCTTTCCCTGGGGGTAAAGCAGCAGGGGCATGAAGCTGACCACTCACCTCCAACTAGTACTGAGGCCAAGAAAATGTGGATCTATACATCCACTCCCCATATGCCTTCATGGCATAGTGCTTAATTAATTGGGCACAGGAAACAACTTTACTTTCATAGTAACATGTGAAAGTCTGATTTTTTTTGGCTACATATGTATTTTTAATGTCCCTATTCAGCAAGATATCATACTACACATACCTAGCAAAACAACCATTAAAAATATGTATGGCAGCATTTCTGTGCATATTTCCAAATTCTCCAATCAATAGAAAAATGTACATCTTTAATATGTTCTACTAATATGTAAGAGTGAATGGCACCAAATAATCCTCTATTCATTATTTGCTTATACAACATAATCTGCAAAATACAACACATCTAATGGAGTAATCACACTAAACACTGTCTAAAACATCTTTGAGGGTACATCATACCTTCATCTGCGTTCAATAAGATCACATTTCTGTATCACTGATTATGATGGCGGTGACTATTATTATTATTATTATTTTGTTCTTTAATTATTTTTGTGTATTTCTATGTCCTCGTCCTTTTTAATTGGCCTCTGTGCTGTTAAGTTCCCACATAAATAA